CCTTCAGCTACCCACAAACGAATAAGCCTCTCACGCTTGATGGAGTAGTCTTCGGGAAACATGCTGAAGTACAAGAAACAACTTTGTACATCGATTGGAAGGTCCCTGTAACTTGGATCCCAAACTTGTTCAATAATCGGAAGATTGGAAACAAGGCTATTATGGAACTTCTCCCACTCGAACGGAGTTTGTGGCTTCTTGGATAGCAAAGTAGCCACAGCTGAAACTGCAAGGAGCAGTATTCACATTTCTGGAGGATTTTTTCTGCCCAAACTTGAAGCTCCTCTGGACATTCGCCTTTATTTCCTTGAAATGCCTTCTTGCAGAACAGCTTGGTGACATCTTTCCATGATAACACTCTACTCAAATCATGAATATACTCGGCAGAATTTGCATGCAGAGAAGCTAAATTAGAGTCTCGAGTAGTTATGATTATTTTGCTTCCGGGCAAACCTTCTGGTAGAGCAGTTACAATGCATCCCAAATCATGGTCGCTCCAAACATTATCTAAAACGACCACATACCTCTTTTGGTCCAGAAGTTTTCTCAATTTGTCCCCCGGATCTATTCCGTCATAATGATGATGATGTGCAACTGGTTCTTGCATTCGGTCCTCAAATTTGCTCAACATGCTTAGCAAGAGCTTTCGGCAATCAGAGGTGCGCGAAACATCAACGAAAGCATGACAATCAAAGAATCCTTGCACACTTCCGCTCCGATAAACACTGTTTACAAGAGTGGTTTTGCCAGAGCCTCCAGGACCCACGATGGAAATCTTCAAAGGACTTGGATCATCTCCTTTCACCAACTGTTGGATGAGTATTTCTTTACGCTCCTCAAAGCCCTCAGTGTCTTCTTCTTCAACAACTTGGTGATAAACCAAATTATTATTATAAGTTTCTTCAGGTCTTGGGTTGGGAATTGGTGGGTCAAGAAGTGAATCTAGTGCTGGTAGTGAAGCAAAAGTGCTTCCTCTTTCAATATTTTTGAGCTTGTTTGATAACTTAATGCTTGCTTCCAATACAGGGGGGAAATGTGTAACGTTGGGCGCCATCCGAGAGAATCTATTGGTGTGCAAGTGATGTGGAATCTTAGCCACAAACTTTCCAAGAGCGTCCTCAATATCGTAAACTGTATCTTGGATCTCTTTTGCACGAATTCGAATCACTCGGGGGCCTTCATCAATCTGGTCTGATGAGTGTTCTGCAAGATAGGCTTTCATCCAACTCAACATTTTCTGGGCTCTTTCAACGTCTTCCTTTGCGTTGATTGGACTTGGAAGGTTGAGTTTTATGAGGTTCTCAACTAGGACCATTGCTAGTGGAACAGCAAGTTCAGCCATTTAGCTACGTAGCTTTTTTTTTTCTTTTTTTTTTTGGGGTCAAGAGTAGCTAGTTAGGCTTTTTGGGTTGATTGGAATTATCAAGCCTGAAAGCTCATATAAATAGCCACATTCCGTGAGAGGGGGGAAACTGGGAAGGAAAGAGGGGGGGAACTGGGAAGGAAAGAGAGGGGAAACTGGGGAGGAAAGAGGGAATTAGGGAGGGGAGAATGGTCTTGCCAATGCAACCCACCCTCCTCACTTGGTTTAAGAAATGTAATAATGGCCACAATAATTAAGTACATGCATGCATGGAGCAACTGGATAACAAAAGGTCTTGGTCTTTGCCAATTTTGTCTCATCCTTTTTTTTTTCGTTCTTTCTTTCTCGGTTGGATAGATGAAGAACATAGAAAAGAAAATTATGGTTTTCGTTTGTTTTTCCCGGCAACTTGTTTTCTGTTTGACAAATTCTACATTTTCAAGTAACAGGTTCATGGAAATTTCTCAAGTGACGCTACTTAAATTAGGCACGTCGTCGTCCAATTGTGGACTGCAACAAATTTCTTTGTTCTTTTGGGTGGATGCCTCCTTGGCTGGGTTTACTTCTGGAAAAAGATAGGGAGTTGGGTAGTTTTTTGCCTCTTTTTTTTTTTTTGGAGGGGGGGTGGTCCTTTTAGGAGGTGCAGTGACACTCTTTTTCCTTGACCGGATTTTTCTCATTTTGAGGATTTTTAAAGCAAGATTTTAACGAGGTCACGTTTATATGCTCTCCGGCTTTTACAGTTGCTTCAATGTTTGTTTTTAAAGTTGAATGAAGTTGTTCTCTTATAAACATATATAAAAAATAAAAATAAAAAGTCACTCCGTTCTTTATTTTCAATTAATGTTTTACATTTCTTATTTTGACTTGGATTGTAACTTAATTTTTATAAAAGTAATACTACGGGCACCAAACCGTGATCACCTCCCCTCAGATTAATGGGTGATGCCAAATTGAAATTGCATATCATTATTAGTGTTGAATATAGTTGGTGTTCGTAATATTAGTTCCCCAGTTGGCAATCGCCATTGATATAATAGTCTGACAAGGAAAGCCAAAACCTTTGCCACTCCCACTTGAGAAGAAGCTTGGCCTACGTTGATCAAGTGAACAATATTCTTCCAAACTGAATCCGCGTAGAATAAATTCTGTCTTTATCTTATGACATAGAACAGCTGGTGTATTGTGTACGCCGCGGTGGCAAGAAATTTCAATTTTCTTGAAAGTGAAGTTGGAAAAGAACAAGAAATAAAACTAAAGCTCTAGGGCTACCAACCAACCATTTTTCAATAATTTATCACTACAACTACAGCTAACTTCCAAACAGAGTAATCCTACTCTTTTTATATTGTCCCTACGATATTTCATTTTTCATACGTAAAAGATCGTTGAACTTCAAATATATATGGAGAAATCAAATCAAAATTAACAGCAACAACGAGAGATTTCTTTTTCCGAAGGTTGTTGACTTGCTTGTTAGGAAGACTTACGCATATTGGAAATATTTTTGCTCATCATTTTAATTCAAGGTGAATCCGCGTAGAATAAATTTTGTCTTTATCTTATGGCATGGAATGTTAATTCCTTAAAGCCATAAATATGTTTAACACTAACCTGAGTCTGACATGGTGCTGGCGCAAGAACTGGATAATGCTGGAACAGATTGGCAGCGCAAGGGATAGAAGTTCTTCTCCTGAGGATCCGATCCTTATAGCTATAACTCTGATGGGTGAATTTCTGTTTAGCTGTGTTGTGTTATTCGGATCTAGGAGGGAGCCTTCTATTTATATGCATCTCTCTAAGTGTCTTGCCCATCAAGAAACACTTAGAGATATCCTTCATGCTATAGGATTAATCCATTTCAATCCTTGTAGAACTAGGAACCCTTAAGCCTTCATTATCCTTATTGAACACTGTTTGAGGCTTGCCTAATCGAGATAGGTTTTGAGTTCCTAATAAACAATAAGTCTTTGTAATCCTAAGTTGATTAGAAGATCACTTTATTAGGTTTAATGTAATAAACCTTCTTACAGCCCCTTTTAGAAGGCCACGGCCCACGGGTGTATATGAAGTGTATTAGACAAGTTTCACTGAAGACTTTGAAGTCATCAACTTGAGATATCACTCTTTTAACACACGCACACGGGTATCAAAACAGAAAAGAGATATAACTTTTCCTTGCTCTGTTTCTTCACTCTGTGTGTTCTGTTGCTTTGTGCTTGCTAAGATTGGTAAGTTAAGAGTGTATTGAGTAAATAAAAAAGGCAGCACTTCATGCATTTCCTAAACACACCCGCAACGCAACAGCTTATCCCCCTCAAATTCAATACACCTCTACCTTGGATACCCTTCTAGTCTAGACCCAAATGTAAAGACCTATGAAGTGAATCTATAAACTAGACGAGACAAATGAAGTTTTTCAGAAGCGCTTAATTATGGTTTAATTGTGGCTAGGCTAGCCTAAAAGATTACCACTGATGGAAATTGGAATAGTCAAAACGAGCAACTGATGTTAACCAAAACGAGCAACTATGAAAATGAAATGAAACAGAAAACTCGAACTCAAACTCAAAATGAAAAGAGGAGTGAGAAAGAGTCAAGGAAAGACATGTGAAAATGAATCTCTAAATAATGAAATGAAATAATCCATCCAGATCCAAGTTCCAGGTTCCAGGTTCCAGGTTCCAGCCACCCAAATTAACTTTTTTTTACATATCCCAGTCAGTCACAGCCAATAATAATAATGCATGAAACCCAACTAACCAAGAACCAACCAATCTAGAACTAGTAGCTAGTCACTCACTATCACTACTAGACTAGACTAGACTCTAATAAGGTCTAAGCTGGAGGAGTAGACTGTAATTACCCAAAATTTGCAATGCAGAAAATGCATGGTGAAAATAAATAGTTCAACAATTTCAGTTTAGCAGTAACTTCATCTCATAATTAGAAAATAATATGCCTAAAATGTTTATTTATTTATCTCATATTTTGTAAGTTGGCTATTGCTTTCCTTTGGTAATTGGAGGACACAGTGCCAGTCATATCAACTCATTGCCACATGGACATGGTTGATACTTGATACTGTCATACTGAATTTCCTCAATGCACCCGCAACAGCTAGCTCATTCTTATCCAGCAGGAGCAGGAGCAGCACCAATGCAACGTGAATATATATACATATATAGAAAGAGATGGTGTTCCGCACAGACACCACCTACGTACCTTCCTTGTTTCGGAGTCCCTAAATTTCATGCAGAATTAAAACGATAAAACAAACAGCTAGCATGTGAAATCCTTCCTTAATTACTAACTCAATAGACTAGGTGATCCCTTTTGCTGTATTCCTTCTATAAATGTATCAGAAAATATATGTGCTATCCTGTGCTGCAGTGAAAATTGTTTTGTGAACGACTAATCCAAAGATAATATTATATGGATATTGGGTGGTAACATTGTTTATATAATGAGAAATTGGTAACACTGATCATATCATATCATTCTACTTTTCTCTGTTTGAGCAGCATGAACAGCATCCTACTTGTCACCTTGTTGGTGTTCCTCGGAACACAAGGCTATGATCATCAATCTCATGCCTTGACCCTCAAAATCAAACACCATCCCTTCCCCTTCCCCAATATCCCCAACAAAGCTTCTGCTTCTGCTTCTGCGCCAGTGACAAGGGTATTCTCTGGCCTCTTCTATACCCACCTGTATGTCGGAACTCCGCCCGTGAAAGTCAACCTGGCCGTTGACACCGGCAGCAGTCCCACATGGGTCCAGTCTGCCCACTGTACGGAGTGCTTCCAAGTTTCGTTGCCCAATTTCGACCCCAACAGTTCGCTCACTTTCCAGCCTATGCCCTCCGACCATCCACTCTGTCACGGTACATGGCTTGCTCCGATGGGAAATTTATGCAAGTACGGGATTGAATACCTCGGAAACCAGGTCACTACAGGTGACTTCGGCCTCGACACCTTCTACTTCACCACGACTCCAAACGACCAAGTTGGGCAGCAGCAGCGGCAAACACAAATCCATAATGTGGCATTTGGCTGCGGTATCATCAACCGCATCCCTGATTTTGCCGGAGATGCCCATCATGCCAATCCAATGTCTGGAGTTCTGGGGTTGGGGAGGGATGATCCCTCCAGCTTCCTACTCCAGCTGAACGATATCACGTTGCTGAAATTCTCCTACTGCCTGCCGAGACGTGTTGGAGACGAGGCGTCTCTGTTTTTCGGCGAAGAGGCAGAGCTCAAAGTTCCTGCGGGTCAAATCCCAACAACACCAATTGTGGGGCCATCAGATGAGCCCTATTATTTAAACATGACGGGTATAAGCTTGAATGGATCCATTCTTCCAATCGATCCGAAGCTGTTTACATCCGACGGCGACTATGGAGTTGTTATAGATTCGGGGTCTCAGTACTCTCTGTTCGTGGAAGCAGTTTATCAAGTCGTGCGGAAGGCAATGGTCTCGTACTTTATGGATGAGTGGCTGTTGCAGCCTCTGGCTCCCAACAAAACTAGGTCCAAAATAGACCTTTGCTATGACATCACAGACATAGCAGCGGCAGCAGCAGGACGTAGAGGCGGGCTGTTTTCGGTTGCGCCGCCGATGGTGTTTCAGTTTGATGGCGCCAGCCTTGAGCTGAACCACGAGACGACCTTCCAAATTTTTTACGAATTCAATGAATTCTGCCTGATGATAGAATCAGCGAACAAATTTGAATCCACAAACATCTTCGGAGCATTCCAGCAGTTCAACCACAGATTTGTATATGATGTTGGGGCATCCAAGTTGTCATTTTTCCCAGAAAAATGCTGATCAGTTGATGCTAATATTATTATGTCTAAATAAAAAGAAGTCATCAACGATCGATCATGGTGCTGCAGCTGTACGGTTAATTATTAATCTCCAGAACCAGAAATACTAGGCATGTGTTTTAATAATTCTATTTTATCAGTCTAATCTAAGTCTTTTATTGTTGTGCTTAATTAATATGGATGGATGCCTCATGTCATGTCATGAATGAATCAGTTTATGAATGGTTAAATCATTGTTGTTTTGTTATGTTATGTTATCAAGGGCATTGCAATGTGCAGTGATAACAAGGACACTGAGATGGAGGCATTATTTTTATGGAGATTTTTTCTTTCTTTTATATGGCAATCAATGATGCATCTTAGATTCAATGCTTTTTGTTGTTTCGTTAGATGAGAAAACATCAGTGGCAGCAAGCAGGCAGGCCCTTTCTTTTGTGGGTAACATAACAAATTTCTTACCCAGATCAAGTCTAGGTGATAATATCTTTTGTTTTGGCTAAACAAAAGATGAACTATTGTCAATATGAAAATGTAGCAGCTTCTTAAATTCCGACTCTGTATACGTTTACAAGACTCAAAATGGTTGGAGGCTTAGAAATGAGTCATGACTTTTCATGGTAGATTGGGTAAACAAATTATCCAAAATATATCATGACATTTGAGAGCATAATTGGGTGTAAGAAAAATATCATGACAACCTTAGCGAATAAATATAATGTCCCACTGACCTGAAAGTCCTTTACCTTCCAAATGTAGTTTATTAATTTTATATAAATTATAATTGAACTAACACATTAGTTGACCGTGAGTATGAGTTAACCCGTGTCCGGAGAGTGTCTTGACCGTTGGACATGAGTGCCTGAGTGTCCGACACTCCGACACTCCGACACTCCGACACTTGGGCTTAGTGGATGCGATGCCATAATGAGGAAGCTAGGCTATACAAGATCATTTAGTTCCATCATGCAAGCACATGTACAATTTTCTCTTTTAGTATTGAAATTTCCCATTGCCATTGTCTTTGTTACTCTCATATTGATCAGTAAGAAATCAATAAGATATTTTTCTTCTTCTCTGAGCTTAGGATTCATGTTTTGGTCTTTGCTATGTATATCAGATTTCATGTTTTGGTCTTTATTTGTAAGCGTGATCCTTGTTGTAATATTTGGTGCCGTTGGTCATTAAAATATGCATATGATTAAGTAGGCTCATAGCCTATCCGAGGGGAATTATGCCTATTCTTAATCCTATTTTAGGCTCGTGAGTCGTCTGTTGCAGCATATACACCTATTTCAGATTGTGTATATATGCGCATTACATTAGCTTTGCAGTTTGCACTTTATGGGCAACTTGTTATATTTGTTTTTCACAACTTCACAAGCAAGCACCAATGCACCATGCTAAGGATAGGTAGGAGGAGGAGGAGTGTTTGTTGTACCTTGTACATATCGGCTCTTAACATTATTGCATCATACGGTACCTACTGACTTGTTTCTACTAACTCTCTAAGTCTAGTGGGTGGGTTTATTGCATGTGGATTTGCAAATTTTAAAGGAAATTTCGACCTACGTTGGTTTCATTAGATGAAGTGATGAAATGAAACAAACCATTACAAGGCATGAAATGAAACAAACCTTATCATCGCTTCACCTAATGAAACCAACGTCGTCGAAATTTCTTTCAAAAGGAAATATGTTGAGTTGAAGGAAAAGGAATTAGAACTAGCATACTATTTCATCGTTATTATGTCTAAATAAAAGAAGATTTATACTAGTAAATATTAATGGTGCTTTCTAATTAATTTTGTTTTCAATCTCTTCTTTTTTTGTTATGTTAGTATGTACAAGAAACTGCCATATTTCAAACACCAGGACATGAAACAAGATGGCTGAACAAATTAAGGAAAAATGTCCAAAATATCAAACAACAAAGTCATGTTATTAATTAGCTATTACATTGGAAATGGGAGAGAGCATAGGAATTTCACACCTGATATATTATATATACGTTATGTTAGATTAGGCAACTTGGACATGTTAGCTAGGAGGAGGACTTATAAATGAATGGGATGGGAGTCATTATTTTTACAGAGGTTTTTAACACACAAATAATGAATGGGAGATAAATTTACTGGAATTACACTATTACATGAGGGTCGTCAATGGGTCGAGCCAGGTGAGCGCGGCCCAAATTTTATGGGCTTGGGTAAGGCTTTAAATAGGAAAGAGAAAATAATGAGCCAAGTTGAACTGGACTTTATCAAAAAATTCAAAGCCCAGGTCCGCCCCATGGGCTAGGCATGAGAAAGCCCAACGGGCCAGAAGGGCTTGGCCTATCGGAACAAGCCAAATGGGCCTACTATGTTTTTATCTTTTATGTTCATTTTTTTTCTATGTTTCTTTGTTACCTCCCATTTCATATTCTCCTTTTTTTTTCCATCCCATTTTCATAGTTGTCTTTTATTCTATGAATATACTTATGAATCCCCAATATCATGTTGAACAAAAAAAAAATTCTCGAATGTCATTTCTCTTTTGGCCTGAATTTGTTCCAGTACCCACCTAAGGCATTTTACCCTTTTGACAAATGAGATGTTCAGTTAGTTTAATAATGGAAGCAATTCCTTGAATGCCAACAGAGGCACACTTGTTTAATAAAAGCAATTCCTTAATAGACATGGGCACTGGCCACAACCCATACAAACAAACAGAAGGATACAGAAGGGATGGTGTGATATGCATAGATCACATGGTTGAATGACTCTGGAGACAACAAATTAGGAAAAGACTAAATAAACGAATAATCTTTCTTTAGTTCCCTTTGTAAAAGGATCTTAATTTCAAGGGTTCAAAAAATTTGGCCCAGACACCAGCATGGTAATTTTCAGGTGAGTTAGGCAATGACTCATTCTTAGCCGCAATGACAAGCCCATAAAAGATGCCTGATATATATATATATATATATGGTCTCGCTAGAAACCACCCTTTGAAAAACCAACTTGTTTGTGACATTCTTGTTGTACTCCAAAACAACCCACTTTCCCTTTTCTACCACAACTCGATCTCTAGTGTGTACACGCATCCAGGCACCAGGAACTCGATTTGTTGTGGCACTAGCGGTGGCAAGAAGAATGAGTAGAGTGGTCATCAATATCAGTGTAAGGAAGAAATGAGGATACATTGTAATTTTAATTTTAATTCCTGATGTGAATGTGATGAATAAGGAATCAAAAGTTTTTAAGCTTTGATTTGAAGAAAATCTTATTGTTGCATGGTATGTATATATACTATAACGATTGGTTGGTTACAATTTACATTACTATTTGTCAAGTTTTGAAGACTGCGATGCCCCTGGCTGCTAGTAGGTTATACATTAGTAGCTAGCAGTTGCTTGTTGGTGAATGAAGTGAAGCGAGAGAGATCTGGGTCTTGAAGTGGGCAAAAAAGTTGCTCGCTCGTGAAATGCGATAGGCGTGCCACTACTAGTGATACTTTTCTAGTAGAAAGAGGGAGTGAGGTGAAGATTAAGCCTGTTAAAGTATTGCACCCTTGTTTTCTTATCTTCTAATCCATTGCCCTCCAAAGTGGGGAATCTGGCTTTAGATTGGTTCTTTTCTATGCCTCAACGAAGAAGACTTCAATATTTCACATATTATGGAATCAAACGCGAGATGAATGATGATTATAAACTGTCATCGGATATAAAGTACAATAACGAGCCTTGCAGGAGAGGTGTCCAATGGATAACATAATACTAGAACATAATTATATACCCAACAGAGACTTAACAATGAATGCAAGTAAAAGTAAAGCTTGGTCTAACAAAAATACAAAAAGCCTCATTGGACAAAAACTGCAATCTACTTGAGACAGTGCAGAAGGTATGTCCGATGAGAGTTTGTCAGGTATATTTGCAGTCAGAACTTGTCAAAACTACGGATAGGAGTTTTGATTTAAATGAGCTAGAAATCGAGACCAACTATCAAATCATACCAAGTAGTGTTGGCAGAGCATATAGATTACAAACAATAACAATGCATTTCCAATCAGGAGTTGTCAACTGAGAATTAGACATAGTAAGTGTTTGTGAAAAGAATAGAATTCTAATCAGGAGTTGTCAACCGGGAACTCAAAGAAACAAAGAGGATTCGATTCAAGACTTGGCTTTGGTCTACAGTGAGAAGCTTTGCAAGAGTTTGAGTCTGGGTTAATTCGAGGTTGTTGAGAGTAAGCGTATTTTGAAGGTTGTTCAAAATAGGTTCAATTGATTTGCTGTTGGATCCTCGATACTGAGCTTTCTTCCTCCATTTATAGGCTTCAAGGTCTTCAAAAAAAAAAAAAAGATAACTACTTGATGGGCGTTGCTGCTTCAAACCATAAAGAATTCACAAGATAATGAGAGCATGCCTTTCAAGCTGATCAATTGTGGTGCTTTCTAGTTTCAAACTTTGGGACCACTTTGCAGGAGGTGCCGCAACGAGTCAGCTTTGGGTTTTTTACCATTCTTTACTTGTCAGGAATTGAATATTCTCTGTCAAAGCAGATTTCTTTATTGTTTTGCTGAAGATCAGTCCATACCACCTGTACAAGCATAGTTGTTTGAATTGTTTTTTACCCAAAGCTCAAACTGCTATCCAATTAGCTCATAGTGCTTATTAAATGAACTGTCAAAAACCACTTAGATTGGTTATAAATACACTTTAATTGGCTTTTACTATAACCTCAGATATTTTCTGTCTGAAATGGAACTACAGCATTGGACATCTCTTATGTTTGAAGTGGGACTGTAGTGTCATACACTTGTGTTCGAAGCCATGCACTGTAGCTTCGGACACTATTGTTTGAAGGGTTGGTTGACCATGCGCTGGTCAATGTTTGCGGCCGGCTTCTGTCCGAAGGTCTTTGGGCCGTGTTTGTCACTAATTGGACCTTTACATATGCTGAATAAACTCTTGGCGGTTTGGGCCCCATTTTGCTAACCATAAGACTAGCCTGCTAACTGTAGGAATTAACCTGTGTTAATTTCGGTTTGAACAATTACATATTTATCAGTGGATAAGTATATTCAGTGTATCTTCCCACCCATTCAATTCAAAAGAATGGATTTCTCTTTTTTAGAATTTAAAACAATGGATTTGGTTTTTTAAAATGGCAAAAGGATACAAAATTATGACAAAAGGATATGTTTGTAAAAGGAAAATTACGTGAGATATAAAATGCCAATGAGAATAGGTTAAAGTGTTCATTTGCTCTTTTGACTTCTTTTGGAATGTCAGATTCCAAATCTAGAATTTAGTTCATGTTTATGGTCA